CAAAACCCATTTTTATCCATCTAAAACCATAATATGAACACTAACTTGTGTTCGAGTGTTTAGATTCTGAATGTTCTTATACTTTGGTAAAATATGGTTATATTTTAAAGTATAATTTTTGGTCAGAGTGTTTTATCCCTATGCATTTATAGGTTGTATATCTTTTATGAATTGATATACTTAGCTCACTATAAACAATTCTCTGATACCAATCCGTCATACCCCAAAACTGAAACGGCGGAAACGTTCTGGGGTGGATGACGTCATGTCAAGTATCACAACATATGCAATATAGTAATCAAAGTACAAAAACCATTGCATTAATAGTAATAGTTTTACATGGTTTACATTACATTACATCATCAAAGTAATACAAGTAATAATATAGGTGCAGCTTGGTACTAAATTGTCCTCACCAAAAGCTCCTGGGATGTACCTATCTATTGTTGACCTGTGAATACAAGTTATTTGAAAAATGAGTATCAGCATTTTTACAAATGTTGGTGAGTTCATAAGTATTTAGTGTCATTTTATTGAAATAACTTTATAGAAGTAATAGTTTTAAAGTGTACAGTGAATTAGAGTCCTTTATAGAAAATCCTATATTTTCTAATTAAAAGCAGTCTTCTACCAAGACTGGACAAAGTTATGTGGTAAAAAGTAATTTTTCCTTAACACTATCATTATCAAAATGTGGTATTGATTTTGAAAGAAAGTAAGAGAATATCAGGGAAAAAAACATATGCCTCAGTAGTGAAGACTGCTGAATAAGGCAAAAGAAATCATAGACTCCAGGGAAGTATCGAATGAACGATATGCTTGATTCAGTCTAACAAAAAGGGAGACACAGACCCCATACAATATCAAATGGAAGATACGTCTAGCAAGGTCTAAAACCAGTGAACACAAACCCTAGATAGTATCAAATGAATGATACGTCTAGCAAGGTCTAAATACAGTGAATACAGTGTTAAAACCCGTTACCCTAAAGCCATGAATTATAAGGTAACCCAGAGATACTCACAATCATACTAATAGACACTAGAGAATTTGACACCCTGCAAGCGTCGGTAATAACGTGACATATGTCACCCTTTCGGCTTAGTAGGCCAACGACTGTAGCTAGCAGTCAGGGTGTGGGGTTGTCAATCCCGTATAGATCTATACACATAATGCCCGCTCTCCCTACAAGAGACTCTGGTTACTATACTGACAATGAAGAAGGCCGTGTACTGAAGATGTATCTCGTGTAGTGAGATCTTATGTGAAATACTGGACTAATGATAGAGACTCACAACTGAACTGACTAATGTAAACCTATATGTCTATGCTTGTATACATAATGTATAACTAATGATCAAACGACCTTCGGACGGGTATTCGATCCCACCAGACCACATCTCAACAAAGAAAAGGAAATAAGGTGAACTAGCCTTCCTAAGTCCTTTAAACATTATTTGTATAACTATACAAGCATAGGCATACATTTAACTAAGTTAAAGTGTTTAACGAAGTAGAAGTGTATCGTAAAGTATAAGTGTATCATGAATTATAAGTGAATCCTGAAGTATAAGCGTATCGTGAAGTATAAGCGAATCATGAAGTATAGGTGTATCGTGAAGTAAAAGCGTATCGTGAAGTAAAAACTTATCGTGAAGTAAAAGCGTATCGTGAAGTATAAGCGAATCGTGAAGTATAAGTGTATCGTGAAGTATAAGTGTATCGTGAAGTAAAAGCGTATCGTGAAGTAAACGCGTATCGTGAAGTAAAAGCGTATCATGAAGTAAAACCGTATCGTGAAGTAAAAGCGTATCATGAAGTAAAAACATATCGTGAAGTAAAAGTGTATCGTGAAGTAAAAGCGTTAACAAAGTAGTAGCATTAACTACGTAGAAGTATAATCAAAGCAATAGTATCTAACAAAGTAGGAGTATAAAACATGGAAGAAAACTTTGATGAAATCTTTGGAAAACCTTTATTCTTTAAGAAAATCATTCATAAACAGGTTTTGATTGTAACCTTGATAAAGTAGAGAAAACCTTTGTTTAAAAAGCTATTCAAACAGATTTTGAAATAAAAGGTACAGCACAAGAGGCAATTTGAGAAAAGTTATGAACACATAAAGACATTTTAGAAAACCATTTACAGTATCATTCTTGGTAAAACAGTTGACAGTGTAATGAATCCATGTGCATGCGGGTTATCAATCACATGTGATAGATATGATAACTGGCATGTTTAACTTGTATTCCCCCCCCCCCCATAAAAGCATGTAAAAAACATTTAAAAGGTTAATTCAGGGGTATGAACTCACCTGATGTAAGTGGATCCGATGAAGGTGTCGGTTGGGTGCTCGGTGTCAAGTAAAGACTTGAACACACTTAGTGACCTGTTAAACATATGATAACATATTTTTACATACAATTAGTAAATATTATAAAAATTAAACACGTATACCGATCCTAAAGTGCGGAAAACACTTTGATTAAGTGCTAGGGATGTCCCGAGTAACATCTAAGGGTGTGTATCGCTTAGATAGGAAGTTTACTCTTCAAGAGTAAACTCTATATAGAGTTCACGGCCCTAAGACTAACTCCCCATGAGTTTATGGCCGTAAACTCTTGGTGAGGGTGTTCTAGGATGCCTAAATGTCTCATATCATTTGTAGATTTATGCTAGGTCCAAATATAAGGCACATGAGTGGATTTAAGGTATCTAAATGGACCAAATAAGAGTTTACAGCCCTAAACAAGGAGTTTATGGCCGTAAGCTCCTATGTACATATTCCTTTGGTGTTTTAAGGGCTTAAATGATAGAGAATAAAATCCTATGCATTTTTCTAAGTCAAATGGGGAGTTTAGGGCACCATTTGGGCATTTTCTAGGAGTTTACGGCCCATGGACCTTTCCTAGCGGGTTTTATGGCTGTAAACTCCCATGTCCTTGGATTTATTGAAGTTTAATGCCTTTACATCAATGGGATTGGTTCTAGACATTTTCCAAGGCCATAAGAAATGTATGTGGGCATTTCTAACACATAAAATTGAGTTTACTCCCCATGAAGAGGAGTTTATGGCCCAATCATGTTCTTGGGTAGTAAACTCATGTTTAATCTCCAAAAACTCGTTTCAAGGAGTTCTAAGTCCGAGTGTGTAAGCCTACAAGTCATGTCTAAGCCTTAGGAGCAATTTAGAGGGGTTTTGGGGCTTAAAACCCCATTTAGGGGTGGTCACGGTCCAAGAGATTTCTTGGGCCGTAAACACATGTATTGGCCCCTAATTCATGTTTTAAACATGAATTTGCATGTTAGTTAAACTATACAACAAGTTAGGGTAGATTGCCTACTTGTTTGGGGCTCGAAACGGATAATTTTTGGCTCGAAATTAAGTTGTAGAGAGAGAGTAAAAAGGGTTTAAATGAAGTTTACTCTCCCTTATATAGGGGCTTGAGTTGAGGCTCAGTGGAAATCTACCCGATACTGCTGTTAAACGGGGCTTTTGGTCGCACCCGATTTAGTGGTCGTATTATGACTTAGTTGAAACTAAAAAATTTCAGAGGAAAAATTTGGGGTGTTTCTAATTTATTTCAACCTTCATGAAGTCATTCAAAAAGTCCCAAATTAATTAACTAGTCCAAAAGTTGACGGACAGTTAAATATACGAGGCTTATTAACGGAAGAAAGGGTTAAAAGATGACGGAATAAATTTCGCGTTGTCACATAGCCTAACAGTTATATGAAAGACCAGGATTTGGCACCTGCCAGTTGTATGGAAGACTAGGATCTGGCCCCTAGTATTTGTATGTAAGACCGAGATTTGGCTCTCGGCATTGCAAGGAATGACATTGATTTGGCCCATAGCAAGATATAAGAGCATGATTTGGCCCATAGCTTTCTCTCGTGGTGGGAGGAACCCATTTTTGTATGTATGATTGTTTCGTATGTTTATATGTATAGGAGAATTGGAAATTTAGTGCGAGAGTCAGATATTTGTGTGGATGTATTGTATGTATGATGAAATATGTGGTATATTGGGGAACTTAGTAAGCTTTATTCTTACCATTGTGAATTAAACATTTTATAGGTTGTTTGTGAGAAGAGCTCGGTGGGAATGTCCACACGTATTGAAGATATTCGTTTCCTCGATTTTGTAAAATTAACTCTAATATTATATGGTTTTAATTAAATTAATATCACCTAATGGTTTTGAAACAAAGGTTTTAATTGGTTATTATTTTTTAAAATTGAAAAATCTTTTTGTAATTTTTGAGATGTTACAAGTTGGTATCAAAGCCTTGGTTTGAGGGATTTGGGTGCTCCTTATGGTGTGTCTAAAATCAAAATGAGGACTGAGATATTTTCTAAATAAGTTTTGAAAGATAATGCTTTTATTTAAAAGAAAGATTTTCTAAAAAGATTGTATCACAAATGGATGATGCGATGCGTACACTTGGTCCGAACTTAGGAAGTATGTAATTCCCAATATACCCATATGATCTTGGATTTTTGCTATGAATTGTTATGCGTGCTAGAATGTCACTTGTAGATCTGGTTAGGAATTGCATGATAGAATTACCTAACTTATGTGATGCCTTAGTCTAGGGAATTATTTGTTATGTGCTTCTTGAAGTCTGGATTGATAATTTATTTTCTAGGTGTATATTTTAGAGTTGTATACCATTTGGATTATATAGCCTTAGAATGATTGATGTAGCCTTATTTATGATTCCCTCTTTGTTTGTGGCCTTCGGGTGGAATCACTCATTCGATAGTCTATGTGGTCTTGTATTTTATATATATATATATATATATATATATATATATATATATATATATGTATGTATATATATATATATATGTATGTATGTATGTATGTATATATATATATATATATATATAACTTGCATGCAAAAGGAAGCAACCAATGTTGGTGGAGACTTCTAGCAACTCGGGTATATGGGAAGGGAAGGATCCTAGCAAGAGAGTATAGGAAGTATAGCATTATGCATATGGCTAGACCTTTGCATGCGGTCGAGGAGTTTAGAGGAATGATGTAAAGTGACTTGGAAGTCTTGGAATAGTCCTTGGAACGTGGATGGATAGGTTTGGCTGGTAGTATTGGGCCCATACTACTAAAAGCACATGATCCATACTTGAGTCAAGGGGTGTTCTAGAAATACCGAGAAACTTGTAGGTGGTATGCATAGTGTGTTAGCACCATGCTTTGATTTTGATGTATTTTCTTTATCATTCAGATTTAATAGGGAGACCTTCCATGTTGGGGATGCAAGCTTGAGTGAGAAGGATTTTCGTGACATCGTAGCTGTAGAGATTTTGAGGTTCGTGAGAGAGGATTTTCCTGGTTTGAACACCTCTGTTAGGGATGAGGTGTTTTTAGTGAATGAGCACCTTAGGAATCTTTAGGTTGATTTGGAGGCCATTTGACTCAGAACTCGGGTGGTTTCCTTTAGGGAGTTTGATGCTTTTGGATCTCCTTGTTCTTCAGGAATAGATAGTCGATCATTAGTATGTGATGGATTGCCAATGTGGAGAGCGCTTTTGTTCGGCAAAGGCCAAGGTCAGATTTACATTAGGTATTTTGAAAGAGCTAGGGAATTGGTGGTGCGAGGTTGTCTAGGGCCTCGAATCATGTGCGGTCGAGTCCATGTCATGACAGGTGGTGTTGTTAGGAACCATGAGGTGGATTAATTTGATTACGTGGAAATTCAAATGGTTATGAAGCGGCTGGAGTTAGCCAATTCCATGTGGTGGAATCGCTTTGTCAGATAGAATATTTTCGAGTGCAAGTCATCTTGGAGTTTCATATTCAAGTATATGAGGATTGTTGATTCTGGTTGTTGTTCAAGTTGAAGTGTGTATGTAACATCCCAAAAATAATGGTAAAAATTTTTATTTTCAAACCATCAAATACATACAAACATTTGTTCAAAAATCCATCATATTAAAATGTATCTCTCAAATATCAAAGTAAAATAGTAATAATAAATGATGAAAAAACCTTAAGGGGATGCAGTGCAATCAAGTCGGTCCCTTCACATTGAATCTGAAGTACCTAAAAACATTTAAAAAATAAATTGTAAGCACAAAGCTTAGTGAGTTCCCCTAAATACCACATACCATACATATATGTGGGCCCAACCTTAGGGGTCTATTTCAGCCCTATGTGAAAGCTATGATCGAAATATAGTCTTAAAATAACTTCCAGATAATAGCCCAACTGTAAACTTTCTGCAACGATTCAACCATGATCTTCCATGCAAGTTACAAAGACAAAAACGTGTTGTGATCCAAGCATAGTCTTTTATACAAAAAAAAAACAACTATTAATATAGATAGCAACTTATGCTAGTTTTCAGGTAAGCTGCAATAAGAATCGAGTTACATGATGAAGACGCATAGCATCTATAACAACCCATATTTTCTAACATATATATCTAAGTAAAATATCACGTACCACGGCTGCTACAAGAACTTGTAAAACATGGAACATCTACTACATGAGACTACATGTCTGGTGAGTTATATTCATAGCTGCTTTCATGTTCATCTACTATTTCTTTCTTTTTTTCTTCTTTCTTTACTCTAAAATCTAACTATTTCTATAATAGCATACCGTGTTATTCTTCTTCTTTCATCTATCTCTTCCATAATTCTTCTCTAATATTCCATTCTACTATTTCTCTACCATCTACTTTGTTTCTTATATTCTTCTGTTTTCATCTCCTACTCTTTCATAGCCTCTTCTAAGGGTGTTCTCTTGCTCTACATATATTATATCTCATCTCTACTATTTCTATTCACTAAAATGTAAGCTCTCTACTCTTATTATTATATACTCTATCTATTCTATACTCTTTCTCTTATCTACTCTATCTCTTCTTTAATCCATCTTATCTCAAATGTATAAACATTCCTTTTCCATCTAGACCCAATGGTCACATATCATACTCCAATCTCAAATAGCATTTAAGTGATACTATATCCCACTACTTTATCGTATACACTCATTTGCTCTTACTCTTCTCTCTTATAATATATCACGGAACTTTAGTTCTTTCCTCTTCTCTTGAATCCCTTAAGTATTCCTTACTCGTAATCACTCATGGGTTATCTCTAAGTTATTTAAAAATAAATCACTTATATTTTTCCTATCAAGGAACATTTTCATTGTATTCTCTAATCATACACAATCTAGATTCTTGTAAGAAATATCTATCTACATCCATAAATGGATCATCATCTACCCATATGTGATCATCTCTTTCCCTACGGGGACATAATCTCATTCCCGAATGAATCATACTCTTTGTACCAAAGGAACCAAACACTAATTCCCAAAGGAATCATAATATTTGTCCCGAAAGGAACCTCTATCTATTGTCCCCGAAGGAACTATCTATCTCTATATCTCCATCTTTTTATGTGACTCATCACATAACACTTTTCCCATGGACAATCTATCTCTTTATCTAATCAAGAGATTCTCTACTACTCATTTAGTACTTAACTCATTACCTACTTTATCTTTTTCTAAGTCTTATAACATATAAGTATTCTACACAATAGCAAGAAATTTCTAGACATAGATGCTTACTCTTATGATTATATTGCAAATAAATCACATTCTAACTCTTTCTTCTATCCCTTAGGTATTTACAAAGTACGCTTCTTATCTTATCTTACATACTCTAGGTATACATACATGCTCTAATACATGTATCTAAGATACACCTCATGAATACTCTTAATATACATAAATGCTTGGATTCATGTTTATACACATATATTTTTAATCTATCTTCATTCTATTACAAAAATGGTCCCCGTTCCTCGAGTTACTGTTTTATTAAAATTAGAGCTTTCATTTTTCTAGTAGTTGTTAGTTTCTTCATAAGATGGTAGATTTAAATGAAATTGTCAATACTCAGACATGGAATCCACCAAAATCGACTTTTATCATGTCGATTGTGAACCTTGACTTTTTGTCATTTCTCTTCAGTTGCCCTTCTCTTCAGTGCATGTAGGTCCCTATTTCTTTATTATTATTTCAATATGTATAGTTATCTTGGTAGGCCAAACCAGATGGCAAAGTGAGAATTCACTTTGCGAATGACAAGTAAATGTTGCTAAAGTGTTGTCTGCTATAGGTTCTCATAGCCACAACTTGATTCTCACATACATATTCCATCGATCCTTTTACTTAAATTCAATTCTATTTTGTTCAGTTGAATGTTAGAAATTATGTATTGGTTCCCTTTCTTGATTTTTCGATATTGTTGCCTTACATACTTCTTCCATCTTTAATTGATGATAATATACTGCTCATAGACATAGAAGAATAACAAAGGGAATATGTACTTCTATTTTTTCCTAAAATTCTTCATTACATTGGTTAATTTGTGTTTGATCATCCGAATTTGTAGAATTTGGATTAGGGTATTAATATCGAATGGATATTAACTGAATAGGAGGACTGCTTTTATGAATTGGTTTAATCGTAGACTTCTCTTCTCCTTCAACAAGGTAATGTTTCGTCTTTTTTTTTTAAATTCCGCTTTTGCTTTACTCTCTCCATTGTTAAAACGTAGGAAAGTTTTACTTCATTTATTTATTCTTCAATCTAAACTTATTACTGGATTGGTAATTTTTTAGAATTAGATTGTGTTTGTTCTCAATATTCTAACATCAATCTTTTAATCTTTTAATGTTGTTTAACTGATAAAAATTCTCTTTAGCTACAATTTCTTTGTTGAAGCAATTTATAAGGATTATGTTGTTTGTTAAAAGAATATGTACACATTCGTTTTCACTGACTCTTTCCCTGCTATTGTGTGTTCTCTTACATGATTTTCTAGTGAACATAATTTGTTTGATGAAATGTTTGAGAGAGAAGTTGGAGTTTTTGTTACAATTTGAAACTATCATATAAGTATATTGGTTGTTTGTCACTATACGTATTTGCAGCTGAGTTTACCATGATTTACTTTGTGTGGCTTTATCAAATAAGTTGTGCTTTATTTTGCAGGATAACCAGCTAAAGTAAACTCTTAATGTTGGCATATTAAAAGTTTGTGGTTATTAAAGTTTACTTTAATGAAATTTCATATGGCCAATGCATCAACCACAATCAATGAACTTTTTATTCATAAAACTTAAGTTACCAAGATTGAGGAAATTAAGCACCTATACTACATGAATTAGTTCCAATAATTTTCAAGTTAGTATTTTGGTCTATGATCATATGATGATTATAAATTTGTCACTTCATAATTTCAATTGTTTTGGTTAACTAACAAACTCCATTATACTGTATTACAACAAGAGTTTAATTAACTTTGTAGCATAGAAATCTAAATGATATCTCTTAAAAAGTGTTTGATATATCAATTAAATATGTAGATTCTATAAGAATAAAGAGGTTTGAATTAAATATTGTAGAATTCCTCTTATTCATGAACTTGAAAATTATGATATTTTTTTGTTTATGATAAACAACTGTTTGTTAATCTCTTCTACTACAACCTCAGTTTCCTTGACAATTAATGTGCTTCTGAACTCCTTTGCTTTGTATATTCTATTTTTAATTACCATTAGCTTCGTTTTAGAGGAAAAAAGGCAAGTAAATGACTATTTTTTTTCTGAACTTAATTTATTTTCATGTTTATTTATATGTTTTTATGCTTAGTAGAATCCCACATTATATATTAATAATATGACGAGTTTTTTTAATTCCTATACAGTGGTATACCTGTTTAGTTGCAATATGTTCTTGGGACGGTTTCCAGAATCAACATGAACCTTTTAAGGTGTACAAAATGGTTAATATTATCTTTTTAATTTTGAATTTTCAAAATGATTATTATCATTTGAAGGTAGGCATATCTTGGTCATTTTAAATTCAATTTTGGGTAGCATGCAAGATATAGCAATGTAGTTCCATTGATTTTTTTATTATAGTTTTATACCTTCCTTCCATCTTATTAAAACATTTACTTTGAAAATCTACCTAATTATAGAAATGTCATTAAAATATGAAATTACAAAGCAATTTTCAATGCTATACAATGACAAAAAGAAGGCAATGATGTAAAGGGGTAATTTTTTTCAAAGTATAATGCCTTAGTAAGATAAAACTGAAAGTACATTACTATTTCACACATTTATTTCTTCTCTTACTTGCATAGCTATTGTAAATGTTGAATCATAAAAGGTGAACCTCTAGCAATCACAAGCAATCAAGTTCCGATGTTATGTAAATCCGAGATGAGATGAAGTTCCGAGATTGATGATGAAGTCTAAGATTAAGTAGTTCTGAGATTAAGAGATTGTTCACATATTTAATGCATTTTGTCTTATCTTTGATGTAACGGTTCATAGGAATTACTTTTGTGTATCCTTTAGATATTAGTTTGTTAATCACTGATAATTGTCCAATCCTAGGAATGTTCCTTAGGTTGTACTATGTTCCTCCTCCATTATATAAGGATGAATGTTTTACCATTTAGGCGTATGTGAACAATTCAAAGTTATACTCCAAGAATAGTAATTATTCTCTTTACATGACTTTCACTTTCCTTTAACTCAAGCTCTTTTATAACATTCTTCTTTTTCCATAAATATCTTTGCATTGATTATACTCTAACTTTTCTTCATTTATTACTTGAACACTTTGTTGAATATTTCCCTTC